CGCCACCCAAAAACACTCACTTTAGACGGAGCTAACTTACACCAGACGATTCTCACCCATTTCTCAGCCAAAAGATCATCCTTAGGAGCTAAAAAACCATATGCCTCCTTAACAGAATAAACACCATCAGTACTATGCGCCCATCTCCATGAATCATCTTTATTCTCCTTTATCTTGATCTTATTAATAATCCCCCTAAACCTTTCTTCCTCCTCACCAACCCTCCCGGAACAGCTTCGTCGCCATCTACAATCCCATACCCATGTGCCCTCACTCCAAAAACCCATATCCTTCAACAGCCCCTCCTTGTTCAACGATAACGCATACAATCTCGGAAATATATCCTTTAAAGGTTTATCACCAACCCACTTATCAACCCAAAAAGCCACTCGACTTCCATCACCAATCTCCCATTTAAAGCCTTTTCCCAGCATTAAACCCAACCTCTCCGACTGGCTACCAACACCCACAATGTCCTTCCACACTCGAGACATATGCAAGGAGCTAAAAGAAGTAATATCAACTTCCTTTCGGCCCTCGTAATACTTCTCCCAAATCACCCTCTTCCATAATCCCCCAAGACTATCACCTAACCTAAACCACCACTTACCCAATAAAGCCCAGTTTCTCCTCTTTAAATCATCCACTCCTAAACCCCCTCTCTCCTTCTCCACACAAATATGATCCCAACTTACCCATGCAATTTTCCTCTCCAAATTTGTTCCACCCCAAAAGAAATCTCTCTGAATCTTAACTATTTCAGCAAGAACACACTTTGGAATTTTAAATAACGACAAGTAAAAAATAGGAAGAGCAGAAAGTACCGAGTTGAGCAAAGTAATTCGACCTCCAAAGGACAGCAGTGAACGTTTCCAGGCGGCAAGCTTATTCCGAAAACGATCCAGCACAGAAACCCAAAACTTTTTCCTCCCCGAAATTCCTCCCACCGGCAAACCAAGGTAAGTAAACGGCACCATTCCAATCTTACAATGCAAAATATCTGCTGCTCCCTTTAACCACCCTTCTGTAACATTAAACCCATACAAATGACTTTTGCAAAAATTGATCTTCAAACCCGAAATTAATTCGAACCAGTGTAGAATAGCTTTCACAGTCCTTAAATTTTCTACCTCTGCCTTTCCCATAAAAACAGTATCATCCGCAAACTGTAGTAAGGACACAACCATACCACCCTCTCCAATCTTGACTCCTCGGAAAAGCCCTTCTGCCTCTGCTTTTCTAACCATACCGCACAACCCCTCACCTACTAACAAAAACAAAAATGGAGACAAGGGATCACCTTGACGAAGACCCTTGCCAACCGAGAACTCCTTTGTCGGACTTCCATTAATTAAAATAGATATACGGGTTGTCGAAAGGCATTCATGAATCCAGTTTCTCCACCGAACTCCAAACCCCATTTGATCCATCATCCAATCAAGAAAGTTCCAATCTACACAATCATAAGCTTTCTCAAAATCAGCCTTAAAGATAAAACTCTCTTGTTTTCTCTGTTTCACCTCATCTACCACCTCATTCAAGACCAGCACACTATCTACTAGTTGCCTACCACCAACGAAAGCTGACTGTGAATCACTAATAATATCTGCCATCACCATTTTTAATCGATTCGTCAAAATTTTTGCCAGTAATTTGTATAAACAACCAATCAAGCTAATGGGTCTATACTCCTTAAAATGCACTGGATTGACCTTTTTAGGAATTAGAGCCAAAAAAGAGGAATTTAATCCTTTTACTAACCTCCCATGTTGGTGAAATTCTAACAAAAACTTCACAAAATCCTCTTTTAAAGTACTCCAGGCAAATTTTAAAAAATTAAAATTGTACCCGTCTGGACCTGGCGCCTTCGCCCCATCACAGCTCTGTAGTCCCTCTTCAATCTCCTCTACTGAAAAAGGACGTTCCAACCACTCCCTTTGTTCAACTGAGATTCTGTTGAAATGCACTCCTCCCAACACTGGCCGTTTCCACTGTTCATTATGAAACAGCTGACTAAAATACTTCACTGCCTCTTCTTTCACCCTACTTGGCTCCTCAACCCACCCATCCTCTCCTAAGATACTTGACATTGCATTTTGTGCCCTCCGTGCATGAACACACCTATGGAAAAAAGTAGTATTTGCATCCCCAAGCCGAATCCAATTAATTCTTGACTTATGCTTCCACAAAGCCTCTCTTTTCCTCGAAATTTCCCACATCTCCTGAAAACACCCCCTTCTGAATAACACCTCATTCTCATCTAATTCAATCTCTTCACTTTTTATATCCAGCGCTTCAATGTCCTTTGATAATATCCCCCATCGAGTCTCCACATTACCAAAAACTTCGTTATTCCACCTTTTACATTCATCCTTCATTAGCTTCAGCTTCTGCTTGCATATATAACCCGCCCATCCTTCAACTTGCAAATTTTTCCACTTATCATCTACAAAACTTCTGAAATCTGGATGTTGTTGCCATGCGTCCATTACCCGAAAAGGCTTTGGACCCCAATCTGTGTTACTTGCCTTCAGAATTATTGCACAATGATCAGACACTGACCTTGCAACACCTTCTTGAACCCAATCCGTGGCCAATAGACTCATTTCTGTAGACATTAAAAATCTGTCAAGTCTACTCATGGAAGATCCATCTGGTCTATACCATGTAAACTTTCTATTTCGCAAGCCAACATCAATTAACCCCGTGCTTTCCACAAAGTGATTAAAATCCTGCATATCCTGCGTCTCCCCCCTCTTACCCCTTCGTTCTGATACATTCCGGACAGCGTTAAAATCACCCACTAACAGCCAACACCCACCCTCTTCTAAAACTCGTCCAGCTAGCTCCTCCCACAACAAGACCTTCCTATGCCTATCACATGGAGCATACACATTGATTACATTACATTTTTTCCTCTCCTTACCCCATTCCCCGGAAACCCCAATGTAACCGCCCCCCTCAATCACACCTTGTTTAATAAAACAACTTTTATTCCAAATGCACAACATGCCCCCCGAATTACCCATTGATTTCTGCATAATCCAATCAAAATTATCAGAATTCCACAGTGCCCGACACAAAGACTCCTCAACCTCCTCCAATTTCGTTTCTTGAAGAAACAAGAAATCAGAATTCTCCTTCTTTACTAACTTAAAAATCTCCCTCCTTTTCAACCCAGAACCCAAACCTCTAACATTAAAGGTAATAAACTTCATAATAATAAAAACCCAACTCACTGTTTTCAGCCAAGCTCCACACCCGAGCTTTAGGAACTTCTAAAATTGGCTTCATCTCGACCTTCTAATGCCGCCAATCTTGAAATCACCTCTTCCTCATTATTCTGACACTGAATCCCCAATCTTTTCCCCAAACCAAACATCCTTCTTACCTCATCCAACTCCAGTTGCTGCCGGATCAAAGCATTGCGATTTTGAATACAGCCATCGGACAATGACAGATCTGTTTGCTGTGATGCTGTCCCCTGCTCCGATTGTCTTGCTATCTCCCTTCTTTCCTTCCTGCATCTGGTTCTTGCCGTCACCCACTGCACCCCCTTCTCCCTCGGTTCCTCCTTTACCCCTTCCCCAGCATAAATATCTCCCAATTTCTTACATTTTTTAACCGACCCAGCTGCTCCCTTCTGATGCACTCCAGCAGGCCTAAGCCCCTCACAAGACCCATTTGTTGCATCCAGCTCCTCAACCTCACAAACCCGTGGCCCAACCCAGCCCACATTGCCCAGCCCATCCATCTCTAGCCCACTTAATTCAAAATTCCCAACCGCGTTCTGTTTTAAACTCAGCTTTGAATTTGCTTCCGTTTCTGCGTAATCTTCGGCCATAACAGCAATATCATCACCTTCACTGTAACGGTCAGCTGGGTTATCGGACTCACTGTCGGACCCGTCCAAACTCGTGCCGGAACTCCTCCGTTCACCGGCCAGCCACCAGTCCGGATCCATACGCCACTCCTCCTCTGCTACCTTGATCAGAAAAGACTCTCCATCCACCATTAGAGTGATATTCTGTGAAATTTTCGTGTTGTCCTCACACAACACCAAAACCCGACCCTCACACAAGAATGATTTAGATTTTGTATCATCATCAACAAGTATTACTTCCCCAATTAGACCTGCTAACTCCAAGAAACACCTCTCACTCCATGCTCGCAAAGGAACACCATTAAAACGAAGCCACACCAACCTATTTCTCGATGGCATAGTAGAGACCGAAGTTGGCTGCATCCATTCAAACCAAGACTCCATTAACTCCCTGTTTTTATCAATAAACTCTTCTAAGCAACCCTCTGAATTATCCATTAACAAAACATGTCTTCCCCCTAACAGAGAAACATTCACCAATATACCATCTACGTCCAGTCTATTTTGTATTTTCATCACCATATCCAATGACCGAACCAGTGCCACTCTACTTTGCCTCAACCATGCAACTTCATCCTCCCTGGGAGAGAACTGCAGAACCAACTCCTTCGGCTCATAAGTATTAGCATCATTCACTGAAGTTGAAGCCTGATCAGGAATTGAGACTGGTATCACTGCCAAGTCTTTCGACATTGCACCCGTCATTGCTAACCCAGCCACTTTCTTCCCCACAACATGGTTCAGCGACTCCCCTTCATCATATGCCTTAGTTTTCCCAGCCACAATCTGTGCATATGTAAACCCGGGAGAGACCTTTCTATCTCGTCTGACCCACTGCGCTGTTGTCTGCTTTTGCTGTCGTCCTCTGGCCATCCCTTCCCTCCCTGATTTCATGTTTTCTGCCAACTTTACCTTCAACCGATACGAATCCAGCCAAATCTGATTCAACTTTCTTTCCATATCCTTGGCATCAAGAACCCCAGCCATCCGAACAAATCCAAAACGACGCCCTCTCTGATCCCTCCTGTCTGGAATATAAACATCTGCTACTTTCCCGTAGGACCAAAAACTATACCACAAATCCTTAGCTGAACGATTCGCCGGAAAATCATAAACAAAATATGTCGTCACCTGCCCAAGGAAGTGCTTACCGTATCCTGGAAGCCGCCGCCGCCGGAAACCACTTCCGCTGTCCCTGGCTGTCGGAAACCTGTCTCGAACCCTAACTCTCTCTCTCTCCATCCTAAGCTAAAAATATCATTTTATATAATATACAGTTTAATTTTTATTAACCAACTTATAAAATGACACTCACTTAATCACTTAGCAATGGTTCCAAGCCTTAAACTTGTGAGCACAACTTTTGGATGTAAAGCCATATCTATATTTAAGGCCTCATATTCATATATATCCAAGAGCTGTAAATATCAAGCTAGCTAGCATGTTGTTTTGTTCGTCCAAACTCAATAACACATTATTCTCATCATAAACGATATAGCAAATGAAAGAAAATGACATTAATGTGACTTGTCGAGGTCTTTCCGTTACTTTTATGTGTGCAACTCAAAGAAACTCTCTGTCCCACCGCCAATGTAGAAATGTCACTCCCATTTGCGTTCCGCCACATGATTCGTATGGCTAAATTGTGTGTGTACTGTGTAGAAATCCTAAGGAACAGTGGTTTTCTTGTGTCATTCCATTATATATATATATATATATATATATTACAAATCAAATTATAAAACAACGGATTCTTTCATCATACATGAGAACGAAAAATAATGGTCCACAAATT